GGGGTTGTTTGTTCTAGAAGGTCTTGTAGATAACCTCACAGAGCTGTGTTTTCAGAGTGTTCATAGTGCCTCCAATGAAAGATGTTGCCAAAGAATGAAGGATCACCATGATGACCATCCTTTGGGGTGGGGGAGGGAGGTTGTCCTTTCCTATTCCTACTGGAACCAAACCAAGATCCAATATTCGGAACCTGCTCAGAACGCTAGGCCATATCACATTACCACTTCTAACTCAATGGTGCCATGCCATGCCTTGTTTCCCATCATTTCAACACAAATAATCAATAACCGATCTATAACAAGAATAGAAATAGAAACGAGTGTTCTTTGAGCCAAACTGAGGAGTATAGCCGAGGGAAAATCTTATCAGGAATCTCAGAAGCTGTGCTGGAGAAGCATGGTTTTTCCTCACAGATTTGTATCTTTTCAGAACAAAGAACCATCAAGCAGAAACATGCAGGGGTACATTCCTACAAGATTTCCAAAGGGATAGATTAGCACGTACAGAGTGCATCAGCAGGACCTTGATATCTGGGAAGGAAACTTATCTTTAAAGGAACACTGGCATAAGCCTCATAGGAAGAGGGTAGCATTTATCCCTACCTTCAAAGTGGACACACTATACTTCTGGATAATGAATTCTTTTCTGAATGCCTAAAGCAGATGTACACTGCATGATAAACAGGTCATAAGACAGGCTCTTCTAGTTAGCCTAAAGTTCAAGCTAAATCACGTAGAAGCCAGAATGATTTCCCCATACCTCAATTGTGAAAATTTCTTCCATCAGTCACAAAGTTTTCTTGATCCCAAACAATGGTCTAAAACTCTAATCCTACACCTGAACTTTGCACAACTTTGCACAACAAGTTGTGGGCTATATGCTTCTTGTCTCCTCTACTCTCCTGGAGGTAGAAAGGAGATACCTTTGATTTTGTACTCCTCTTAGGATATGGAGAGAGCACACTGAGCTGAAATTCTAACCCCTTGCAAATCCACAGATGTTTCCTTTACACCCATTTTGGATTCTGTGTTCACCCTAGTGGTTAGAAGGGATTCATACACCTTGAGTAAGCACATACCTTACATACTGACTTTGTTTCTATATCGTAGCTCATGTCTTTTTCTGAGTCCATATTCTGTTTATGGGACTCTGCTGGTAGGTATTGGTTCATATTTACACATACAGATTGTGGTGAATTGACTGGAAAAAAGGCCACAGCAATTCCTCCTGTCCCTGGATGTGCAGCCCTTTGCTCATATGTTGAAGGCAGAGCTGAGGATTTGCTGCTGGAGTTAGGCTGGGACATGAAAGAAACAGAGGAGTCCAGGAGGATGCCAAGGTGCTTGGCCTAAGCAATATGAAGAAAAGCACTTTCATTGATCAAGGGGCAGAAGACAGAGGAAGATCCGATTTGCGAGGGGGAAAAAGCAGTCAGTGAGTAAAACCTTCATGAATACTAAATCTATTGATTTTTGAAAAAGAAAACTGATAAAATGCGCAAATCTAAGATTCCCGTCAGTGTTCCAATATATATGCAATATATTAAGTAAGAGTTCCACTAAAATCCCAACTCCAAACAGACTAGTTAATTTCAAATTTTCTTTTTTTTTTTTCACAGCAGGCACAGCATGTTGTTTCTTTCAAAAAATAAATATTTATAAACTTAGGGTGGAGGATTCAAAGAATCAAGAGTCTCTTTCCCACCAAAAGCACAAATATCCCATTAGTCAAATTTGGAAGAAGAGTCACCCCCTCTTCGGGTTAAGCTGTTGTGGGTATCCAGAGAGGTTGACCTGTAGCACTGTCTCATAAAAACACATGATTTGTGAAAGAAATTGGAGTATCATTGCCCTAAGTAAATAGTGAATTATGTGCATGTATGTGATGATGATGTCAGAGAAACTAACTTAATGATCTGAGTGGTAATTTGATATTCTGGTATTGGTAATAGACTAAAGGCAAATGCCTCTGGCAACATCAGATAACCCTTCATTTTTATCTTTTCAAAGCTGACGCAGATGACCAGATCATTATTTTCTTTTAGTCTTTTGGTATAGAAAATTAAGAGCTTTCTCAGCATTCAACCTTCCTTATATTTCCTGCTCACGGTGCACTCTTTGAACACACTGCTCGGGATTAGGCTGGCTAGTATTTGGGGCTTTCCCATTCATGTCACAGGCAACATCTGCAGCGTAGGTGCCAATACTCTCTCTGAGAGATGCATGAAGAAGCAGGCAAATGTGTTCACAAATGTGTTCCTCATGCAAGCCAAGGAACTCAGAAGGACAAGTGAGTTGCGGGCTCGGCAGGGAGGGTGGGCACCTGGCTGACGCCTCTTCTCCAAGTGCAGCGGGCCTCGCCCTCATCCTGCAAGACTCAGAGTCCTGGGCTCCTGCCCTGGCCCCTGGCCCCTGCCTTCCCCCACCGCCATGCCTGGGGAAACCGAGGCCCCGCCCCTCGTTTCTGATCCCGCCTCCTTATCGCCATCAGCCCCGCCCCTCCCCTAACCCTCTTCTCCGGCCGCTACAACCCTAGCTCCGCCTCCATAGTGCTCCTGCGCACTAGCAACCATCTGCTCTTGAGGGCGGGCCTGCGCAGGCAACAGTAGGGTTCCCGGCCCCGCCCATCCCCTGCCCTTGGCCCGCCTCCGTGGAAAGCCCTTCCGGTGAGGCTTGTGGTGTCAATGAAGATCAGAATGGCAGTGGGATTTCATGGTGTTTGGTAGTGGGATTTCATGGTGTTTGGCAGTCTAAATGCAAATGCTTCAGGTAAAATCATACCCACTGACCTGAAATAGGGCGAATGGGAGATGGCTTTCAGTTTTATGTGAGACTCATTCTGTAGCAGGAGAGGATAATCAAAGGGATATAAAGTTCCAGGTGCAATTAGAGGAAAAGAGAAGTGATCTGAGCTCTGCATCCTGATGAACCTCTCGGGCAGGAAATGAGACACTGAGCTTGGTGCCCTCTAGACTGAATGGTAAGAACAGAATTGCTGCCTCCTTCAGCCCAAGATCTTTATGAAATGCCAGGAAGAGCAAGGCACCCAGACACCCTGAAGATCACAGGCAGAAGAGACTGCCAGTCTTACTCTCCTTTCCTCTGGGGGTGGGCAGGGCGTTACTGACCACAGTAAGGCTATTTGCTGGGAAAATGATTTTTTTCCTATTTTTAAATATTACTTAATTTGGCTGTGCTGGGTCTTAGTTGTGGCATGTGGAATCTAGTTTCCCAACCAGGGATCGAACTTGGGCCCCCTGCATTGGAAGCATGGAGTCTCAGCACTGGACCACCGGGGAAGTCCCTGCTGAAATGTTTAAACCATGGTAAGCTATACACATAAGACATGCAATTTTAGTTAATTGCATGCCGAATTCCAGTTAGAACTGGAAAGTGTATTGATATGTTTATAAAGAATAAACAATGCCAAAATATTCTACCCACTTAGCTGATGTAATTCTGCTATTACAAAGTCTTTAGAAGACCTAGTGGTGTGGTGTAATAAAAGATGTCTCAGGCACAAGGGACCGAGATTGTCATGCAGGCTTCAACAGGAATTAATGTGTGCTTGCTGCTTCTAGTACGGTCCTACTGACTTCTGAGCTAATCTATAAAACCATGCTGGTCACCATACCTCTCCTTGCCCTTGGGAGTATCAGAAGACTTTCTCCACAATCCCGAGATATGCATTCATGGCTTTCATGAAGTGGCTAAAAGGATCACTTCTCATAGGGAGGCATTAGATTACCTGCTACCTTGAGGGGATCAGGCTCCCCAGGTGGCTCGGATGGTAAAGAAACTGCCTATAATGCAGGAGGCCACGGTTCGATCCCTGGGTTGGGAAGATCCCCTGGAGAAGGGAATGGCAACCCACTCCAGTATTCTTGCCTGGAGAATCCCATGGACAGAGGAGCCTGGCGGGCTACAGTCCTTGTGGTGCACAGAGTCCCACATGACTGAGTGACTAGCATTAAGGGGAATAGTTCCCTAGACAAAGGGGCGAGCTTAACAGATCGGGGAACTTTCACCATGGCCTGGAGACCCCATCCCCTTGCCACCTGCTCCTGTTCTTAATGCATCAGACTCCAGAACTTAGAGCTCCGCCCTGGTTCAGGAGACAATGCACATGACAGAGCCGTAGCTTCCTTGATCATACTGGTGTTCATCCTGAATAATAAAAGCATACAAGTGAGATATTCTGAAGCAAATGAATTTTATTGGCAGAACACAGGTATTTAACAAAATAGAAGAAACTTAAGCAAGGAATACATTTTAAAGACACAGAAATTAGTCTAGCTCAGGGAAACTCAGCAGGATCTCCTTTTTTTTTTTCTTTTTAGCCATGTCATGCAGCATGTGGGATCTTAGTTCCCCCACCAGGGATTGAACCCACGCCCCCTATATTGGAGGCACGGAGTCTTAACTACTGGACTGCTGGGGAAGTCCCAACAGTATGTCTTTTTATATTCTCTGCAGTGAAAGATTACCAGTTAATCTTTGCAGGCTCTCACTCTTTCTTGTGGGTCTAGTCCCAAAGCATTTCAAAAGTATTACTGGCTCAATTAGGATAAGTTGAAAAGAGTACCAAACCAAGAAGCTATGGCCAGGAAACTCAGTGACACAGAAAAGAGAAGGCAGTGGGAAGGTCTCAGACAAAAGAGGCCTGCTAGAGAGACCAATGGACGTGAGACAGGGCCTTCCATCCTGTGGAATACAAATACAGCACACACGCACTTTGACATGCCCCCATGGGTACAATATTTTTAAACATTTCTTGAGGCGGCATAAAAGCACATATTATACAAAATGAAAACAACCCAAAGTCCAAGCCATTCCCAAAGGCACAATACCTCAAAGTCAATTTCTGGTCAAATGACACACTCGCTGATGTCACAGGGCCACTCCTTGAGCCGAAGTTCTCCGCATGAAGTTGACGACTTCTGTAGAACTGCTGGGATTCTATGAAATTCAAAATCCTACGGACTCAAGGTTAACCTTATACACCACTGATGCAAATACTATGTATACATAGAGAAACCAAGGCAAAACCATAATACAGAAGCTGTAAATGGCATTACCATTTCCCCAAGGAGAAACATTCTTCCCTCTCAGTTCTAAAATCCAAAAACTCTTGGAGCGGGGCGACACTCATTTGTGATCATGGAAGGGTCTTTTTGTTTTAATTTTTTTTAAAACCCCTTTATTGAGGTATGAGCAATGACTGACACACAAAAAGTGGTACACATTTAATGTATATAATCAAATGGGTCTGGAGATAAGTATACATCCATAAAGCATCTCCATAATCTATACCATAAACACACCCATCCACTCTGAGTTTCATTCCACCTTCATAATTTATTATTAGTAGTATTTGGTAATAGAAACATGACAGAACAAGATCTACCGTCTTAGCCTTTTCAGGACACATCAATTCCAGGGCCTGGAGGAGATACACAGGTGCTTGGTCCTGGCTTTAGCTACATCCTATATCCTGTGGCTCAGAACTCTGACAACCTACTAGAGGAAAATCAACAACAGGCCTTTCAGCATTCTGGAAGGTGCTTTGTCTGACTGATGGGGAGAGGCTGGGTAAACCAGTGAATCTCCCTAGGATTCACTGAGGTGTGTCCACTTCTGCTCTTTTCCAAAGCTGATAAGTAGTAGTACAGTAGGCTTGCACATGAATAAGGAGAAGCGAAGGAAGCTCAGAAAGCCAACCCAAATCGAAACTCTGAGGTGGCCTGGCTGCGACACTCAGTAACCCATTTTGGGTTCATGCTGGAGTCAGCATAGTGGACTGGGAGGGCAAATTCAAAGCCAGAGGGATGAAGAGACCATTCAAATTGTACAGGAATGCACATATTTGGCTCATTCTGTCCACTCTTTTTGACAGAGCTGCACACTAAAATTCCACAAGTAAAACTCTGCCGGATCTGAGTCCTTGCCTCCTCCCAAGTATTCTAGCAGATCCTGTGCACCACAAGACACAAAAATTGGACCTCTACCAATTGGAGATCAAATCTCTGCTCCTTCAGAGTGCTTGAGAAAGGGACGGTGAGAGATGAAGTTCAGCTCCGCTTGCCAACAGACTGCTGACATCAGCAGAGCGACTTAAACCACTCTCTAAACAAGGTTTGTAGTTTTAATCCACATCTCCAGTGATCCTATTGATCACAGAGAAGTCGCCCTGAGGACATATGTATGGGTAAAAAGCTCCTAGAGGATAAGCAGTCATACTTTTTACTTGTCCTTCAGGTGCTGTTTCCACAAGTTCCTCTTGAGGAAGTTCTCTGCACAGGTCTGGCTACGGCCAGGCGTTTACAATCAGCAAATGGAGGGATGGTGAAGATGCCGAGGGGACCTGGTGTCTCACGGGGAGCACATTGTAAGGGACACTCAGATAAGGAAAATTAAATTGCTCATGCTGAAAAGGGACGAATATTTCCTTCTCACATTTCCTCAAAAACTGGAGTGTGGTCAGTTCTTTGTCTGACTCTGCAAAATCACTTCATTCGTGTCTGACTCTGTGTGACCCCACAGACGGCAGCCCACCAGGCTCCCCTGTCCCTGGGATTCTCCAGGAAATAGGCTGCCATTTCTGACTCTCTGCAATGTATGCAAATCTTTTCTGTAAGTTAAATAAGCCTCTTGGAAATTTGGCAAACCAAGAGTGTTCCTTCAGGGAACTGGCAGCAAAAGCAGTGACCAAGAGCCCATAAAGCAACAGGTAAAGGGCAGAAAATATTTCTGGGGAAAAATAAACAGTGTAAGCAACAGCAGTTCCTTCTCAGGACTCCCTTAGATTATATACTGTGCAACAGTAGAGCCGGACAAAGAGCACCCCTTCCACAACAGCCATTTGTCACAGATGGCTGTGACACAGCCATCTAGGCAACACAGAGCAAGGAAGTGACAGCAAAGCCTTCACTTGCAGACAAAATCACAATTCACTCGGGAAAGTGGAAAATAATCCTCTTCTCACAAGAAATGTCCTAGTTTATATGAAAGCCGTATCTTTTATAGTATATCCACAGAGTCCATTGTTAACTTCTGTCCCTCAGCTATGCTAACCCAAAGGAAGGGCACGAGAATGGAGAAAGGAGACAGGAGAAAGAGCCCGGAGCCCACAATGCCCACCACAGTCGTCACACCAAAGACCCTTGTCCTCCCCACTGTCAGTCTTCCCTTATACTCTCAGAGCCTCCTCCTCGTAGTCCTGCTGGGCCCAAATTTCCCGAATCAAGAGATAGCAGAAGCCTGACATGGGGAAACCATCAGGCCTTATCCCTCCCCAATTGAGCTCCCCTTTCGTCTCCCCCACTCCAGTAGCACAACACCACAAACAATGCATAACTGTCCCTCCACTGGTGTACCAACAACACCTTCTTCCTTGAGAGTGCATAGAAGGTCCCCTGAGCCAATGTCACCCGCACCAACAGGAAAACCCAAATGGAAGAGGAGCCACCACCAGCCAGCCTTTCTGCTAGAAAGGCTTTCTAGCAGATACACGGGTGGGAGAGACAGTTACAGCCTGGGGGTTCAGCCCTCTCCCGCAAGAGGAATACAAGGGCTTCATCCTCCAGCTGGGGCACCTGGCTCGGGAGGTTCCTGGACATCCGGGCTCATTGGCATATGCCCTGAAGGAAGCAAATGGCCCCGGATTCATGGACAGTTCACTGACGAGACCCATCGGACCTCTGTCTTCCAGCCAATGTGCAGAGTTTGCTCAGTGGAAGAGTGCAGAAAGTGAATGTGGAGAGTTCCAACCACATTCTGAAAAACAGAGTCGGACTCCTCAGGATTCCCAATGTGCCCTCGCTCGGAACAATGGCACAGAATTCTGACATCAGGGTACAGCTAACTTGTGCCCCAGACTCAACATTTCCAATGCCCCACATGCTGCCGTTGCCTTCTTTAGGACTTTAGCAAGGCACCTGAGGTGTGTGAGTGTCAAAGGAAGAAGTGTCTGGTTGGTATATCTGTAGAACACACAAGCAATAGTTCACTTGCATGTGCCTGTTTATGGCCACAGGTAGTCTCAACAGAAGAGTTGAGTGGTCTACTCACATGGTAAGTGTAGTCAACATCAGTGGGCACCTCCCAGGAGACCCTCTCATACTAGTGCTCTAGACCACAGTATAGGAGGGCGAAAGGCCACCTTTCCTGAGCTGCTTTTCACAGCCTAAGGCAGTGCACAGACTGAAGCAGGAACACAAGAACATCCCTAACAGTGAAGTCCAACATTCTGTGGAAGGCTGTAACATAGGGTAAAGCCTTCATCATGAAAGTCTCAACTTTGCCGGGAAGGAATCCACTGTCATGTCACACTCAGTGATGTGCACTATTATGTTCAGTCCGCTTGCTACAATGATCCCAGGCAGTACCAGGGATTGAGAAATAGGAGACACTTTTGACCACAGAAAGTCCAATGCACCTTTCACATGGAGGGCCTATGTCCTCCTATCCAGCTTTCTCCTTGTGCTCTCACAGCAGCTCTACAGAGGGTCACTCTCCCCAGTCCCTTCCCCACCTCTAGGCTTTAGGCACCCCAACGAAGGTCCCTACGTAGTCAGTCATTCCATCTTTCTTGATCATGGAACTGCTTCCCACTTTGAGCCTCTAACCTCTACAGCACTTCTCCTGAAAAGAACCGACAATCAAAAGTGGCCTGAGAACCACTCATGTAACTCATTTAGTTCAAGATTCATTTGGTATAGCTGCTATGGAAAACAGTATGAAAGCCCCTCAAAAACTGAAAAACAGAACTACCATCTAGTCCAGCAATCCCACTTGGGGTATGTATCCAAAGGAATACCTCACACCAAGATTTTGTAGAACATT